AAAGCCCCTCCCCCCCCCCCCAAGAAACAGTGAACTTTATAGCAATAGAGCTGCAACAGGACTGCTAAGATTAGAGTTGATTAAATTACTTACCAATCCCATGATGGTGATACAACATAGATGTAACCCCATCAAATCGGAATCCATCAAAGTGATAGTCTTCAATCCACATTCTCAAATTAGACAGAAGGAATCTCAACACTTCCCAGCTGAAATAACATGAACATTATTTTACAAGCTTTAAAAACCTTGGGATCAAGTAGAGGTCCTTATACCACATTCCCCATTTGCATACGTGCTATTTGTACTGTACATTTATATGACTTCTTCCCCATGTTTCAACCTTTCCCTAAAAAGTTTCTTTTCCTTAACTCCTTGTCTTCTATTGCACATAATTTTAAGACTGTAGATAGTAGGTTAGGAAAACCTGTCAACTATCGATATAGGCATCCAATAGGCAACATGTCTGAACACATGTACTACCCATACTGGCTGATGTAATTTTCCTCTGCCTCTCTAAAGGCAGCTATACTCTGTGGGAAAGGTTCTTCTAGAAACAGAAAGAAAATTATAATATGCAAGATTTCATCTCCAAGATTTTATGGGTTTACAGCAATTTTTAGATAAAATAAAAGTCAGACATCTGTCTTGACCCATCCCCATCTCTCCCCTGATTATTTAAAAATTACATGTCACCAGTAGATTACAGAAATCACCTACTATGCTGCCTATTTACACATTTGAAGAGTAAACCAAGTTCGAGAAGTTGAGGAGATTTTTTTGAAATTCACAACAGGAATGGTGATGACACACATACACAAAGTATGGACATGAAATAAAATATATAAAAGAGGTTCCAAACTGAGCAAGCATGTGGAGTAATTTGTGAACAAAATTCACTATTAAGCAATAAAATAGTTTCAGAAACAGTTTTCTTATAATTCATCACCTCCTGTCCCAGGACACTGGTCTCCATCGCTTCAAAAGACTCCCATATTTTGTTTCTACTGTTCACCCTCTCTGGCACAACCCACTCTACCAACCTTGGCACAGGCTGCCTCACTCAAGCGTATCCCCTGCAAATTACTGCTTCAGAGAGCTTACCCACCTCGATCAGCCAACACATGAGGTCGTGAAACTTTTTTTGCCAAAGTGTCTTTAATACTTGCCAATGTTACGATTTCTCTCTAATTAATTTCTCAAGACACTATAACCCCACTTCCTATCAAGTTTCTGTTCAGAGAAGCACACAAGCTACACAGCAGCATGCTGGGTGTCATGAGCCACCCTCTGAGGTGAGATGGAAGGGGTAACCTATCACAAAGCACACCAGTCACTAACACTGTCCCAATTTACCTATGTGCATAGTAGGCATGAGGCAGTGGAAGGGGGCCCCTTCTACATTTCATTTAACATATATCAGACACAGTAAATTAATGAGGAAATTATGACACAAGGAATATAGTCCATTTTGACAAAATGTCCCCACTTTACTTCCTCCAGAAAACTTCCTCATGCAGAATGCTTCAAGACTAGAATGACTGGTATTACATGAAAAGATGGGGGCCTGTGGACACTATAAAGCTAGCAAAATCTAGATCTCACCAAATAGCCAGTTCTTATTTACTCCCATGGAATTATAATATTTTTCCTTTTCTTTGCATTCACTGCACACACTTGTGCACATAAAGACAGAAAGATTACCAAATCAAAACCTCCGAATTTAGGAAATCTGAACCAGCTCATTGTGAATTGCCTCAGTTCAATACCTTTCCTGGGCATGCATTACGTGACAAGATTTTTTAGTTCCATCCCTGCACTCCCTGCCCTTTCCCAAATCATCCAATTCACAAGTTAACACTACACTAGGAAGATGTCTGGAGTTTGTCTGAAGAACCTTTTATATATTTGTTATTTCTTAGGTGAGATGATTTGCAATGAATGAACAAGAGAGAGAAAGGTATCAAAAGTTCTACAAACTGGCAAACTGGTCACATAAATACAACTTTGCACAAGCTCTATTTTTTTCTGACCCAGCATGAAATTCAAAGCAAGCTATTTCCTGCAAGCTAAATACTGTGAGCCAAGTCAAAGCAGCAGCTGTATTACAACAAAAATAGTATCTCACACGGAATTAAGATAATGCATGTACAAAGAGTAGATTAATTACTACAAGCACCAGCCAAACTTAAAAGTTGTTTCTTCTCATTACAGACTTGGCTTTATAATCTTAAACTCCTTAGGATGGTGAAGAGGATTTGTACATTTGTAAAACATACAAAGTAGTCTCTAAACAGATAACAAATGTAATTTTTTCCACCATTGTTGGCCCTGAAGATTGACCTTTGGAAAAAGATGGAGAACTAGTATGAAAAGAAATTGTAATGACTTTTAGATGAAAAAGTGACTACAGATAAGAACAAACAAGATGAATTTGTTGAACCAAAATATTAGTTAGTAAATTGATGAGATCAAAAACCTGAGTAGGAGCAGCAGATGTTTTCCAAGCATCTGATTGCACATGGGAGAGAAGATCATAAATAAACAACAAACATATTAACTCCGATTCTAGTCCTGGAAAAATTCAGGTTTGGGATAATTTCTAGGAAGTATGTCAAATAGTAACAATCATATTGACTTTTAGAGAGATTACTACACAGCTCTAAAACATGAGCCAGAACACCAGCTTTTTTTAAACATGGAAATCACACAAACAATGCAGAGGGGTTCACTATTTCATCCAAGTCAGTTTGTTGATAGAAGCAGCAGCATTAGACTTATAAGTTGACACAAGTAACAAATAACTCCGCAGAATGTCAGTAGAGGCCAAAACTGAAGAGGTATAATTGAAATATATCCACCATCGAAGCCATAAGTTAGAATTATTTCTAAAAAAGTATATTCTTGTAATTTTACAGACAGATACGGAAATTGGATTGCATTCATTAAGAACACACTTTCTTTTGGGCAAAAGCTGTATCTTAAATTATATCTTATAAGTCTCATTTTTGCATACCATAACATTAAGAAAGTTTTTTCATTGCATGCATGATCTATGAGAGAAAAATAAATGCTGTATGACCATTAAGGAACAGAATGATTTACAGTGTAAGAAATTCAAGTAATTCAGAATTTACTCAGACATCATTCAAAACACAGATTCTGGTCTTTACAGAGAAGCATTGCTGAGGGTTTTTTCCTTCCCCTTGGGACAATAACTCTCATATTAAAAACAGATTTCTCTTTCAAAGAAGTGAAATAAGCATATCTACCTAGATGACCTGGTTTCATGAGGGGAAATAACTCTCATATTAAAAACAGATTTCTTTTTCAAAGAAGTGAAATAAGCATATCTTCCTAGATGACCTGGTTTCATGAGGGGATGAGAAATTTAACAACTTTCCTATACTAGGTCAGCAGAAAATCTGTAAAATTGCTTACTAGTCACACTCATTATTTATTTTTTCCTCTATGCTAATAAACAAAAGCAAAACAATGATTCACCACAAGCATTCTCAATTCCAATCCATAATGAACATGAAATACTGAGATGCAAGATGCAAATGCACTTAAAGCACTTAGTTTTGTCACTGTGGACAAAAAAATATTGGCTGTACCTAATACCACTTTAGGATGTAATTCTTGAACCATATTCATGTTGACCTTCAGGAACTGCATTTATTATTATATATTATAGAACTGCTGACCTTATAAGAATCTAGACTTCTATGATGATACACCTGTTTCAGTTCTTAGTGTTTAACTTAGTACATAGAGCACTGAATTGCTAAAATATTGCTTCTTAAATTATCTCCAAACTTTTCAACGGCTGAGTGGCTTAAATTCCACCAATGAACTGCTAAACAAAGAAATTGGCATTCAGTCTGATAATGCTAACTTTCAGTCAATCTGGTACAAGTTATTTTATAGACTAAACATGTAGAACTGATACAGATGTTCTTTTTTTTTCACCGCTGTTTATCAGCATAGATCAGTTTCCATGTTATTTAGATGCACTTTTCTTGGTCAGAGTTCTACAAAAGTGTAACCAGTCTTACCCTATTTGCAAAACAACAGAAAGAATAAAACTCTTTGTTTCAGCCTCCTTCATTGACCACAAGTAATTTCTCTCTGTCCCCTACATAATATCACCAGCAAGATCCCAAGTCATCTCTAGCCATATGGAACAGAGAAGCTGAAGCAGTGCAGCAGGTGCCTACATTTTAACCAAGGAACCATCCTGACTCAAATTAGGAGCTAGACTGCTCCCAGTACCTTCACTCCTAATTATTCTCAACGGCATGCTACAAAAACATACACATCTATATTAGTCAACAGAGTATGCTAGTCATTAACAGACAAAAAGTTTGCTTGGCAATCCAAAGTGCATTATGCCTCCAAAATAGTGCAGAAACAAATAAATAGAGCTATCCTTTTGGGGCATATGATAATCTGTGAGAAGAAGAGGTCAGCAGCAACATGTCACTTCCCCTGTATCAGTCCCAAGAAGAAACAGAAGAAATTAATTAATTGCTCTCCCCACATTAACAACCAAAGACACTGATATAGTGTATCACTTTTTCTGGACCTAGGATTTCTGAAAGCGCATTGCATGACTGTGTCCTGTACAGTCAGAAAATAATAAAATAACCACCCCAGGCTGTTCTATTTTAGCAATATGAAGCTAACTCACATTTCAAAGTTAATATTAGGACATAGAATAACTTCAGGAAAAAGCTTATTCTGAAAACAATACCAATTAATAGTAGTGGCACAGATATCATAGGTGAGAAGTTACAGGGGAATAAAGCTTTCAGCCTAACATGCACTGAATTTTTAACATTATTTTTAAATAAACAGAAGACAGTTGGGAAAAATCTTGAGGACAATCTCTTCTCCATAGTCAACTTTCAGTTACATGAGAGCTTTGGCTTGTAAAAGCTTTCAGAATGGCTGCAACATTTTTGCAATATTTTCAAATTATTCTTCAGAGTGCTACAGGTTTCTTGGATACTGTTAAAATAAATATAATGAAATTGATTTTTTTTTTACATGCCCACCATAAGCAACCAACCCCAAAGGTAGTCAGTGTGATCATGATCCCTTTGGTGATGCAGTTTCAGCTGTTGTACTGTGATCTGGGGGTCAAGAAGGGACTTCCAGATCAGGGGCCAAAGTTATAAGCTCTCTACTACTTCTCTATCATAAT